ATTGTACAGTGGCATTAAGTGCCGTAATGTGCACCTCTGCCTACCCCTTCGGGGATAAAAAGGCGTGATGTTATGTTTATGTTTGACTATATTTCTGCGACCAAAAGGACCACAGCAATATTGTGACCACTAGTTGCAATAGGCTCCAACTAGTTCTGCATTTTTGTACCTCTGACTTTGTCTCCTGCAAAGCAACTGAGGAAAGTGGAAACTATTCCTAGTTCTTCACCTCCAATTTGATCATTCTTCCCGATAGCGGATCCCATCTTTGTAATGAATATTGTCTTGTCTATCTCTATTAAAAGTACCTCTTCCGATTTCGGAAAGCCTTCAAGGCTTGTTGCATCAACATTTCAAATAAATGAATTTATATTATATAAATATCGACGGTTTTAAATCGTAAATAGCCATCAAAGATGTTTCTGTTGGGGTTGCCAGTCACATGGCTGTATGCGTAACGTTGAGGTTTACGTAGCCGAATTATATTTAGTCTGTGTTGATAGCGGGTGTTGCTTTGCATTTTCGCACATTGGATTGTGCAAGCTCTGTGTAAACATACTTTATGGCAAGCTGGATGAGTTAGGAAAGGTTCAGAAGCATTACATACATTAAAGAGTTTATGATAGATTTTAGCTCTCTTCTGTACAGACAATGGGACATCAAATGCAACATTTTAGGGCCCTTTTTTAATCTTGTATGGGTTTTCGCCGCTGAAACTAATAACATCAATATTGTTTCAAAACTACGCAAAATGGAAACTTATAACTAACTGAAAATTTAAATAATAACATAGCATTTAAGAGCCGTCAATATGAACCATCCCTAAAATCACCGAGTAATAACAATAATATTTTGATACTAAACTTGAAACGATGATGATTTAACATTGAAATTATGAATATTAGTTACTAGTGCTAATGTTTACGATGCTACGCAGAATTAAGGAACACATGGTACCATTTAATGATTGTTTAGAGAAACGTTCTTCTTCCCACGATGTTCTGAACAAAATGTTTCAAAGTAATTACAACTGCCGTTTATAGCAACTAACATTATTCTAGTTTATTTTCCTTGAGGAAGCTGATAATTTCGGTATGTGAGTTTTAATACAGGAAGCCTGATAACACCGATTTTGACCAAGTTGATCAATTTCGTATAGTTAGTATTAGTTGCATGGATTCTGTGGTTTCCAGCCATCAAGTACTAGTTTCATTAATGTTTAGTTAATGGTCTTTTAAGGTTAATAACTGTCAGTTTCACGGCATCCGTTAGCGGTCTAGTAAAACATTTTCTACATAAGATTAGACTTCATATAAAAATACCTTCAACATTTCCTCCAAACCTTGACAAGTCACTACGTATTTATCGACACCGCATGAAAATTTCAACAATCATTTCGCTCACAAATGTAAATACAAGACGTTAGCTTTCACAATGCTATGTCGCTCCATAGCATTTCAAGTAATACTCGTTAGTGGCCTCTGCGACAAGAACAAAAGTTTTAACGTCACATTGTCACATTGCTAAGGTCATATGAGTAACGGTGAGGCTAGCGTGACTTCTTGTTAGAATAGAAAATTAGAACCATACAGATTTGCCTCTCCAGTGTATTGGAATTTGAATTCATGTTAGAAACGTCAGACTCATCTTTTGACCTCGAATTTGGTCTTTAGAGCGAGGTGAATTGGTCCTTTTGTCTCAATTTTTTTAATGCAGCTTTTTGTCTTTATTTCCATTCTCTTATTAAACGTTTTACAGTCAAATGATTGATGACTTCTTTCGTGCGTGTATTCCTTTGATTTAGGTACCTAGATGCATGGCCCCCATTCCGGTTAGTTTTGTACAGGGCCAAAAATTGACACCATCGGCATAGTTAACAATGAACTACCGGAAATACCATATTAAGAAGAATTTGTTGAAAGCATTTTTGTGTTTGTTCCAGTTAATTACTGTTTAGAAATACGATAGGACCTATTTTAAAGTTTAAATTATTGTACGTTTGAAAATATTTATAAAAGACGTAGGTAGAATAAATTGTGCGCATCTCCAAAGTAAGTGTTTGTAAATGACTCACATTAAAACTATGTTTTTTTCCGTTGTTGACATATTTGTTGCTTGATTGAGAATTTGTAACAGGACCAAGATTAGATGACTAGACTGTCTAGGTATTTTCCAGCATAAAATTAAGATACCAATTAGTTTGCGAGACTTTATCGAGATCTGTACAGATAAACTTGGGAGATAAATTTGGTACATTCAATTCTATTACAAAATTTCATTGTAGATGGTGTATGAATTGCATCTATTTATTATATTTTCGAGCTGGCGTATCACCACACTGTGACCTGAAGTTGTCATCATCATCATCGTCATCATCTCTTGTCTTTCCTGCCAAATAACTTAAATTTCATTCATGTATCATAATCACCACAGAAACATTAAAAATATTACATCTATGATAAGCACAAAGGTCCATGCAGTATTCTAGATTTATGATTCGAAGTTTTTTTTTGATGTAATTTGTTCAGAGCTTGTCCGTGTCGACCATATGACTACCTAACATGACATGTGCACGATCAAATGTTTGTATAAGTTACATAATGTGTCGTTAGCATGACGATCTGGTTAGCACCGAGGAACCTTGGAGTCCCATATGTTTTTTTTTTAAACAAATTAGGTAACGTGCCAATTGAAAATCCGGGTCAAATTGATACCATGTGCGTGATACCGCTCAAGTTTGGTCATACATCACGCATGGCTTAGGTTTTGTAAGAATCTTAAAATGTTTTTAATATTATACGAAAAATATTGGTATTAAAATATTCTCGATATTTTTTTTTGAAAATAAGACTTTGAGGTATTTGTCTTGTAGATACGTTAAATAGACAACCGAATAAGTTTGTGGACTGAAAGACCAATTTTCTACACTAACATTTTTAACCACTAAAAATATCGCTGTTAATAGTGTTAACAGGGAAATTGCACAAATTAATAAAGCTATATTTACATTTCTTTAACCATCAACAAATATTTTCCTTTTCAATGTTCATGGAATAGAATAATATTTTAAATAGGTACTAAATAACTTGGACATCTCATCTATTTTACTATGACATTTCTTAACTTTAATCTTTTGACATCGTACCTATATTTTGTTAATGCGACTATTTTAATTTCTGTAATCAATTTAATAAGTACATTGCATAATATTGATTTTATTTTATATAATTTTATTCTTTTAATTATCTGTTAATTCATATTTGCATGCCTCCTGGTAAAATATGGTTGAGCTCGCAATGTACCTAAACACCACATATTGTATTACCCATATTTGCAAATAAACTATCTTTATCTTTATCTTTATCTTTATCTTTATCTTGGTATCAACCGACGGGTTCTGACCTAATCCTGTCAATCACGAGCCGACATTCAGTGACTCACGCGCACCCTATGCGGTGAATTATTAGGATGTGGCTGGTTACTACAAATAGGTTATAATTAATCTCGTGTTTTATGTGCATGGACGCCTAGGATGAAATAGCAGGGTATAAAGAGTAAAGCAATTAATAGTAAAAAAAAACTATAGTTCACTTTAGGAAGAAAATGATGATGGCATAACAGAGCTTACTAAGATTTTTAGAATCTAACAACTGAAATAGGTAGCATCTATTTACTAACTGAAAAAGGTATTTTCGTAAGTATCTTCAGAAGGTTGGAGAAGATAGAAAGGTCTGATGATGACGAAGAAGTGGCTCCAAATACTTTGTGTAATATTACACACGATGCTGGTCGCTGGTTCTTTGCTTGAACTTGGTTTGACACGCTGCCGTGTCTCCAGATTGTGTCTGAATCTTAAAATTAAAGGGTTATGTTACATTTTAAGTTTCATTTCAACTCTAGTGCAACGTGGTCCTTTGGTCCTCTTCAGCGTCTTATTTTACGCAGTTAGTTTGGTACCTATTAGCACTCGTTTTGAGTCTGTTTTTTTAAATAGGACCACAGAGTAGAGTAGGATCATTATTTAGAGTTTATATTTTATATTTGTCTATTCTTCTTATCCGTGGCATCTGGGATAACAGCTGTCACATTCCGTTTGTTTATTTCCTCCAATAAAGCAGCTAATAAGATCTTTATCTTGTTAATGGAATTTTGAGGTAAATAATTTGATCTCCTAGGTTATATTGATTGTTATTAGATTATCTGAGTAATAATTATTATTTGGGTTTCTAGCTTTATTGATATTCTGTCTTTATTTAATAGGAATATAATAAATGGCGTAGAATTAAACAAGTGTGTGTTTATGATTAGCACTGATTCATGTTATAGTTTGCGGTTAATGCAAATGACTAAATATTCGTTTACTGATTTGTTTGTAACGTAATTAATTGATACTTCATAAATAATATTGAGAATTTAACTCGTCGAGTACCGGTTTTGTAGACACAATTATAGAACAATAGGTTGCGGTCACCGGTGACCGCTTGGTGTTTGACAGTTTAAGCTTTGAATCTATATTATAGTTCATTTATGCTGTCCCCTAAGCCTGTTGCAGTGAAATGAATGGAATTGAACAAACCCAAAAGTCACTGTCTCCTTTGAAGGCCCCAGAAAAAGTAAACTTGCGTTTATGGCGAACTATGTTTAATTTAAATACAACCTTAGTTCTATATAAGTTTGGTGTTATACTCTTAGTTATCTATGGGATTATCAAATCTGTAGAAGTGTTCGTTTCAACTATTTGCAATGTAATAAACACTTAGCTACTTAGTCATTAAATATAAGCGATTAACATGTAAATATGTGAGTTTTCTGTATTACTAACAACCTAATAAATATTACTTAACAAAGCTTTATTTACTGGATGTTTCATTTTAAAGTAATTTTTTTTTAATTTTGTATTGTTTTTGTATCTGTGTGCGGTGCCTACTGTCAAATAAATGCTTTTTTTTTTTCATTTTCCTGGGTACCATACTATTATTTATCTCTTCATTACCTATCCATACATGAGACACAATAAAAAAGAAATAAGTACCTACATTGTATCTAGCTTAGACCTTTGTTCCGGCAAACCACGTGTTAACTGATTTATTAACTCTGAACTGATCATGGCGTTTAATATAAAATACGGATACATACGAAAATATCAGACACTAAAAATTTTCATAAAAGAGTTTCGACCTTTCTATTTTACAATTAAAGCTTAAAATCGAAAGATATCCAACCAATTGGGCCTGCTGATATTTATGTATATATTGTATGTTCTCTCTTTTAAGTAGAGAAATTCAAATCAAGTGCCACAGTCGTGACGAAGTTTAGCACTTTAAACATACTTCACACCTTGGTATTAAGTACCTACATACATACATATGTAATGTAGACACAGTTACCCATCAAGGTATACAAAACCAGTATATCTAGGTCTCGCTTCGTATGATTTTTCCGCACGTTCGACTGTCAGATTATACTGGTTTTCTATGGAAATCCTCGCTTATGTGTACATGTACATACTACACGCGCATTCAAAGTTAATGTAGAACCACTTATCTAAATTCAGTTCCGGATTCTAATAGACTTTACCTATATTGTAGTATACCGTTCCCTTATAAAAATAGACTTTCTATAGTTTTTCAGTCTCTGAATAGATCATTATGTGTCTGATAAATAAAATAGAACCAATAGATATTGTTCAGATAAAGAAAATAATTTATCTCTTAAAAGGATCTTACAGTACCTACTCGGGTATAAATAAGTACCTATTTGAATGACCTTTGGGAAGACACAATTGGGCAAGTCACCGCGTATACTATCTCATGCAGCTATGTGCCGCTAAAACTAGTCTAGCCATAGATACAATAAAGAAGTTTTAATATAAATAATGAAGACTTTTTTAAATATTTCTGTGAGTCAAGCACTTTCCTCGAATCATAAAAAGAAAAAGTTTTGGACAAATAAATGATACGTAATACACACAAATTGTCTCTTTGCAAAAACCGATTTGCAATAATATTTATCGTTTGGTACTTCATACTTCGAACAGTTACGATGTTACGAATTGATCGTCTCAAACAGTTTCATTCCCTTCACCTATAAAATGTTTGATTTCCACCTGATTGTTCTACTGTCTGTCGATGCATGTCATAAAGCAGATGGCACACTAAGCACCCTTGTTGCGTAACCAGTTGTTAGCCAATGCGACGGCCATTACCGGTCCGTATTAGCCAATTAGACGTGACTACGGCGCATCACGGTTACTGCAACCACTGTGTGTCATACATTACATGTTGATGTACTTCTTATTGTGTTTTAATACGAGTGGACTAACCCTGTGTATTTGTAAATAACGCTTACAGAAATAACAACAGAAAACTAAGTAATTTTAATTAAAAATCTGATTAATAAGCATGGCAGTTTCCATCTGTCGTGTAACATAACTAATTAAAATATGTCCTAATCAATATTGCTAATCTGGTCCTATTTCCCCCAGCTATCAAACAAGAGCGCCCTTTGATCCGCGGCGCAGGACCACACCCGGCTCTGCGCGAAAGAGGACGGGCGATACCTCCAGGTGTTCCCTCGTCTCCTACGAAGAGTTCCGTGGCAATGCCTCCTCACGTCAGGGTACGATCCTCACCGCTATCCGTGTATTATGATCTGGATATCAAGGTCAGTTCAGGAGGGAGAGTGCTTGTAAGGCTTCGCAAGGTAGGTGGGTAGTTCCTGGTGGTTTCTTGCTGGACCAAATGTTTCAATACGACCTTGGTAGACCTATTACCCATTAACTACTAACTAATGGTAATAGTGGAATGTCTGATGTCAGATGCATCTCTAAAAGCAATGGGGCTCGTGTCATAATTGGGTACTTGCCCTCATCAAAAATAAATTATTTCGACTGTTCAATACAATAAAATGCTCAAAAGTAATCACACTTTCATTATTTGATTTTATGGCCAACTTAATTTTACTATTCTTCCAGCATTTTTTTTAAGAAATAAGTATACTGTTTGACGATAAAAACGTGACGTCACTATACACAATCTCGTACAAAATTCATAACTGTCGTTTTTGACAGTTTGAAAAAAGTATTGTATTTGACTAGTTGGCAAGTACCTACCCAATTATGATAACAATATAGGAACAATATTCATTGTGGTTTCATGATCCTGACACCAAAATGATCTAATGTCTACCACAGTACTATTACAATAATGACATCGGTTTTACTGTACTCTAACCTTAAACTGATAGAGAATGCGTCATAGTAAAAAGTGAACCAGTTATTACGTTTTAATTGAGTTTAAAATTATTCTAATTTTAGAAGTCTTGATTACTTTTATCCTTTGGAACAGCAACACACAAACTTATTGGGAACTATTCTTTATGTACTAATACTATAGAGCGGCTTCGCCTGTGGTCGGCAGTTCTAATACTGGTAAGTATGCATAGAAGCGCTATAACAATATGTAAGCTTTATAAAGCTTCATAGTACTGCTATATTCAGATACATGTAAATAATATTATGTTGGTAATTGGGAATGTAGGACTTTTTTTTTGTTATTTAAACTGTCAAACACCAAGCGGTCACCGGTGACCGCAACCTATTGTTCTATAATTGTGTCTTCAAAACCGGTACTCGACGAGTTAAGGGGGGAAAATCATCGAATGACTGCTTCCGCCTGGGTGAGGCGGGAGGGAGTGTCAGACTCTTACTGACTAAAAACCACCCCGTTCCTTCTGCACGTCGAGCCGGAGCCCCGGTTACCCGTTAGGTTCTCCGCGACTCCGAATGGGCATCGGTCCTATTGGGCCCCATCTGTGGTGGTCTGATGGCTCTTTGAGGCGCGCGCGGAACGCGACGCGCCGTACGCTCGGGTGGAATGTAGGACTAAGACTAGTATTAGTAATCATTTGGTTATTAGGGTTTGTATTTAGTGGTATATTGTTACCAGTTTTTTCATGCCCTCAATACCTAAGTCTTATAACGGTTTGGTTTGTGGTCTCAAACTTAACAACTTCTGTTTAAATACCCTGAGATCCAAAATATTGATTTTGGTTCAGCAGCAACATCTTTTGTTCATATTCCAAAAGACCAATTACAACGGACTAATTAATCCCGTTTAATTCAGATATTTCGTAATGAAGGTGCAAACAAACGCAATATTCGAGTAAACAAGATTAAACGTTTATTGTCTTTGTATAAACATTAGTTTGTGTTGTAACTCGCAGTTTTGTTTTATGTTTGGTGGAAGTCTTGAGAATTTAGGCAAATTTTTCGTCGATTTCCTAACCTACCGACGGATAAAAGTGAAATTGAATATCTAACATTCTGTAAAGTAGTTAGTACCTAGTCAAGTCTCGATGGAGCCACTCGCTCATCTCTAAAGAGCAATAAAATCTGACTGCCTCGTTGGTTTCGGGTTCGATTCCCGGGTCGGGAAAAGTATTACTGGTTTTTTTTTTAATCTCAGTAGTAGCACGAAGTCTAGAAATGTTCTCGGTATATGGCAATAGGCCCACCCCCTATTACATGGGACTCATAACATAGAAGAGAAAAGTGAGTGTTACTTCTGTGTGCACCTCTGGCTACCCCTTCGGGGTAAAAGGCGTGATTTTATGTTATGTTAAGTAATGAAATATAGACAAAGTCGTGCCAAGTGCAAAGTCTAAGGTTCCTTACTGTGATTTCTTTATTATTATAGTTAATGTTGTGTGACTTGGCTATTGACCGGCTACACATTGAAGATGAAAAATTGCCACTGGGAAAAAATAATTAATTAACAGCGGTTCTGGCGACAGATTGGTGCAATGGAACCTTGCATCTAGTTTTGCACCCTTGTGTACCCTTCAACGGCGGCTGCATCGATACTTTGTTTCTGACCTTCCGACGGATAAAAGTGATATAGAATATAAATTTTCAACTAATTTCCTATTTAGCAAGCACACCTTCGTTCGTATCAAGTAATCACTGTATGATATTATTTGTTTTGAACTTTATCCTTTCAAGCACTTAATAAAAAACAAAGTAGCGTCTAATTATTGTGCCCAAATATAATAGTCTACATACTCCGAATGCTCTTAAATCCATGTTTATAAATTAATACCATAAATCCAACAAACATTTAAAAAAACATTTTAGAATAATTAAAGAAGGTGCAGATATCATATGTCTATATTTTCATTATCCGCTAATCGTTTATTAATTAGTCTGAGTGCGGATAGAAAGACCGTGAGTACCTAAACTCAGTATGATGTCATCATTATTATTTTTGGTGCTTATGGCTTCTGCCGCACATGCTGGCCACACCATCATCTATAGAATATTCTTAGTCTAATTAAAACGATGATAAAACTATCGTAACAACGGGCACTAAAATAGAGATGCGTGGGAATATACCTATTTTATGGCAGAATGCATGAACTTTAGATAGCATTCTTGTAAAAGTTTAGATAGTGTTTGCTATATTATGTTTTTATCTATGATATATGATAGACAAAGGTGTTGCAAGAACCGTAGTTTACTAGACAGGTAGGTGCTTTTACAGGAATAGAACTATACAACAATCGCAAAACAGTATTAGACAACACTTTCACCAACCTCATCGAATTTAATAGTTTCTTATAGACAAGGATACACTAGGGTCAAAATTAAATGTCCTGCAACACGTGTCACCAGCGTCGTTGGGTGAAGTAGTGCAACGTTGCCGGACTGTGGTCGACACGCCTGGCAACATCACCGTCGCAGTGGACGTAAGTCGCGCGTTGTCGCCTTTATGTCAGGCGAAATCGGCTGACTTTGTTTGAGAAGTTGCTGATACATGATGTCGTGCGACTATGGCTAGTGTATCCTTGTCTTTAAGCTTATTTAGGATACAAGAATAATATTCCAAACCCTTAAATATTGGTCCTAACCATCGTAAAGGAACTTTCAAAGGATTAAAATCCAATTAGTTTGATTGGACTTCGAACAACTTCTGTCGAAGAGGAAACAATGGTATGACACAGTTAACTAGCACTTGGCACAATATCAAACTGATGAAATACGAGTGGCGGTTAATATTGGGGCTAGTTATAATCTCATTATTAATTACCATTGACAAATATTACAGCAACACGAGTGACCTATTGTCTAAAAGGTCATTGGTATGGTAGAATTCAAAACTAAAACAAAAAAAATGGACATAGGAAGACAACAATTTGTTTTATATTTAATGATTAGTAATGTTTTATCGTCAGACACAAATAATAACTGGTAGATGAAATTGCAAAACTCAAAATACGCACTTTTGATCTGGAAATAGAACTTGTAGATATTTAGGTGCACTTTTACTCATACAGAAACATAACATAATCAATGAAGCAGATTTCAACTTCAGACACACACACACAGATCAGATCTTTGAATAAGTTTAAGAGAGGACGTAACTATTGATCAAAAGAAGTCTCAATCTTAATAGTCAACGACAGATTAAATATAGACAGCGCCCTAGGTAGGCACTCCATATGCGTCCCTAATTTTTTTCACTCACAGGCCACGGTCGTCTTATAGCGCCCCTCCGCAACTTGCCTAGTTCGCCTTAGGAATTATACGACTGCTAATAGTCCTGAACAAACAGGATCCAAATAATTAATAGCAGAACGGAACTAAATCTCTGTTAAAATCTCCGCTCGCTGCCAAGTCGGCGAAGAGTGCTATGTGTCCCGGAATGTCAATGCGAGCCAGTCAAGGTCGGTTGCGTCAACGTCAGCTCTTGAAGTTGCACGGACAGGGACGCTTGATGGTTCTCGTCTGTTTAATTTGGTTCTGTATTAAGTGGTTCAGAAAATGACATGGAAGTCGCTTTTGAAAGGTCTTAATGATAAACGGATTTTGAGCAAAAGGCGTATTAAAGTTTTGGAAGTCCTTCAAGATTAGGTCTTTTGGTTTATTAGGCTTGGCATGGTAGACCCTATATGTAGCCTGTAACAATTTATTCTAATTCAATTTCATTAAACAATCTGAATGCTCAGTATCGTGTTCTGAGTTGTTACTGCAATATACCTCATTTATTCTAAAACTTCGACGTACCTAAATTGAAGAATAATTATGATTCGTCAGAAGAGGATATTAGAAGCCTATAGTATGCCAATATTTGACGTAAAATTATGAAGCTTAAATGAATATGGAAGGTAATGTGCCTTTGAATATTAAAGTAATTGAAATTGGATCGCATCGATGCTTCCAATATTCGTGCAATAATTTTAATGGATGAGCACATGGTTCTGGAAAATTCGCTGAGGCAATTTCGAACGACCTCGTTTAATATAGTGTTCTGCAGAGTCTTATAGCACTATTTTTTCTATGTCTGACGTTTTTATGATATAACTAATGCATCTCTACTTCTTCGTGTAAAGAAAGTAATTAAAGGCAAACGACCCTGCCTCATATAAGTTGTTGTGTAGTTGAAAATTATACCTGAGATGTGTCATAATAGTTACCGGTTTAAAACCGTTTAGTGATTACATTTTACGATCTGACCACCGAGGTAATGACAAAATGCATCAAAATTAAATAAAGGACTAGTCAAATTATTTGAGACATTTTTAGAAGCCTACTTAGATATTCAACTCGGTACAAATTCCTCACGAATTTTCAACTCACAGTAAATTTGGTGCAAGACGGTAAAACA